GATGACCACCTCTTGCTTGATCCTGGCTCGATTTTCATTCACTGCATCAGAACTTCTCTTGGTGACGTGAGTTCCGGTTTGTAGGAGCGCATGGCCTTCAGCCCCAGGGGCATGAGGAATAAATGGAGGGTTCCAGTTAGCCGGCAGAAAATGGCGATTGACTATAAGATCAATTGCATCTCCATCTGCCGCTCGGATGCGATCCTGTGCAGTAAATGGCTGATTCCTAAGCCGGAACGTGCATTGTGCGTGGTATAGACATTCTTGTGTGTAGCCAATTCTCGAAATGACATCCTGAAGTTGCAATTGTTCACCAAACGAATGAGCCATATGAAACGGATGGCGATAATTGATTGCAGGATCGAATGCCGTAAGCAGGATAGAGGACCATTCAGGAGCATTGTGCTGGATGATGATCACATGACCTGTAATCCCTGGCTCAAGTTGAGACGGAGGTGGAGACACATACACCAGCTCAATGTCAGCACCTGGATCGACCTCATCAATCCACTTGCGCCGAAATTGTTCTCGCCAGTTCCAAAAATCAGCAAACAAAACGATTCTTCTGCCATATAAGCACTGAAAACGACCCATTCCAGGAGCGACAAACCAAGTCATAAAATGAGAGGCACGTGATTCACCCTGCCATGCAAAAGCTTGCAAATCCCAGTCCTGATATATATCAGCAATGACTTGCGCCCATCCGGGCAAAACTATATCTTGAGGTCTGAACTCGTCAGCATCCGGATTGAATTGAAAGAAGTCAGTTTCTCTCGGAGCACCTGCTTCAATCTCGATCGCACATGCTGGTGCAGAAGATACATCGTTTTGGTGATCGAAGGAAGTCGACTGGCATTCACCACCAGCTGAATGTTGCATCAGTGATGAGTCATCTGTTTCATCGTTTTCGACATAATGCCCTTCAGTGTCTGCAATCCTCTCCTGATTAGGATCGTCACGGTCATCACCTGTGTCCAATGTTTGACCATGTACCTCATCATGAACAACTTGCGTATGGCCTCCATAGGAAATTTGCAGAAGTATACTGTCGCCATTTCCAACTCGCACTGTGTGATCATCAGGGAAGATAAGGCCTCCCCTGCTTGCGGCGACACTCGAAGTTGTGTGACTATCACGTTCACCCTGAGCAAAGAAATCACGCACACCAGAGAACTGATTGACAATGCGGGCTTCTTGTGCCGTAATGCCTCCAGGCCCTGAATGAGAGGCCGTTGTGACCAACACCGCAACATGATCATCAGGAACCGCTTGGGTAACAATTATATGAGCTGCATGAGATCTCCATGGGTCTCTTGGAGGCATGGGGTCAACAAAATACAAGTCAATAGGGCTCGCACGCTCAAATGAGTCACGCCAAGGGAAGATGAGTTCACTTCTCCACCATTGGCTTACAGCATCGAGTCGAACCACTCTTGGATCATCATTTTGTCTTCTGTTATTCCCATTCACAAACCATACCAGCACGTAAATGACACGACCTTCATCACTGTTCTCAACAAAAGCAACCTCTTCAAACAGTGCTTGCAATGCATTGAGCCAGTCTGGCGGAAACCGGCCTTCATCTCCAGATGCATTTGCGTGTCTTGGGCTGGGATTATTGATGGAATGGGGATCAGCTGGGAATCCTGGGACATTGGGCCTTCGGTAGACTGCACCATCAATGGCTGCCTGCAGTTCACAACGGAGCTGACCATCAGTCATGGACAAAAGCTCAGGAATCCCAATTCTTATTCCGCGCCTGACCAGGAAGCGCAATGCATTCCCATTTCGAACATTCAAAACTTGATCAGGTCTAATTGCAATGTTTCCCATCCACATAATGCACTCATTTTCCGTTCGCTCAGGTGGGCAAATCTCAGAGTATCCCAGGAGAGTAATCAACGACTGGACCACAAGTCTGTCGGATACTACTAAAGCCAAGGAACCATGACGACCTGAGCTACGGGCTGTATCGCAAACAGTCACGACAATTGACCTTGAGAACGGTTCTGATTGTTGTTCAATAACAACTTGTTCTTGGACTGATCTGTCTGCATCGGGAGGCGTAGGAAAAACAATCGCAAACTGTGTAAGCAGGGCTATATCAGCACGATCATGCCAAGCCGCCAGAAGTTCTCTTTCCCATTGGTGGAAATTGCTTGATAACACTACTACCCTGGAGTGTTCGCATCTAGTCCATCTGCGTGGATTTGTGAACCAAGTTTCAAGCCTCGGTCCATGCGGCACGTCCCCAACGGGGGCCTGAATCGTTTCAACCCATTTTTCCCAGAGATCCTGCACCCAAACAGGTTGATCACGCAGACCATCTGGCGGTTCAAGCAAGGCAGGAGGTGCCTCAGCTTGGGTGCCGACTGCCTGAATATATCGGATAAATTCTTCAGTGAGGCTAAAATCAGTGAAAGGACCTGCAGGGCCCTTGACTTGCTTTCTGGAAATCTGTTCTGATGAAAGACCGGATTGTTTGCGATCTTCGTCGCAACAGTTGCTGCAACTTCCAAAGGCAGCCCCATCTGGATGAGAGCTTACTATGTACTGCTGCATCAAACTGACATCCTGTGACTCTTCTTCATTCTCATCAACATGAGGAAAGATTCGAACGATGAGATTAATACCTGGTCTGGTTTGAAAGCTTTGTAGTACACTGATGAGTGGGTTAATCCATTCTTGACGATTGCCTGCAAAGGAGTGATATAGGGGAACAAGCTCTTCAATTTGAGGTGGAGAGCAAGTTTCAGAGACTGCAATCGCAAACCTAACAATCACGCTTGGGCTAGTTGTGTCTACAAACTCAAGGGAAAGCAGGGCTGGATTGAGCTCATTTGGTCTTTGCGTAATAATGATGTGAGCGATGTGTTCCTCTATCTCAGCACGTGGAGCATGTGGGCTAACAAGGTCAATCAGGACACCATCTCCCCTCCGGATTTGGTGTCTCCACGGTTCGAGGATATCTTCTCGCCACTCATAAGGGTCATCTCCCAGCATTGCAATACGTGGCTCTCGACAAATGTAAGAATCGCCAAGGTCGATGTACCACGTGTATACTGAGAACATCAGTTCCTGTGGATAAGGACCATCACCTCTCTGCATTTGCCCTTGCACCAATCTTTGCAAGTCCAGAAACCAGTCTTCAGGAATGCTCTCATTGCTTGTGTTGTTCGTGTCACACCATCCATCTCTAAGATCGTGACTGTGGGGATTTGCCAGAGTCCATTGCATTAGGGGCACTTCATCAGTGTCTTCCACCTGCCGTGCTGCCAATCCTCTCACTTCCTCCTCGTTCAAGGGACTGGGGGAGAACCCTGATGCCGCATCGTCAGTATAGATCTCGTCCAGAATTTGCTGGTCAGAAAGACCACGTTGTGTCATGTCCGATATGGCAGCTGTTGGACATGAGTACCTGTCAGACGGCGGGACTGCTATCCTGATGTAGTCTCCATGCGCAATGGACTTACGATCAAAGTCATAGTCAGGCCATCTTCTTCCATTAATGAATACCAAACATCGTCCACCTTCATTTCTGCAGTATCGATCGACATTTGCTTTAAAGAGGACTTCGTTTCTGGAAGCTGCCTGCGACAGAGGCTTCACACTTCGCAGAACATCAGGACCTGTTCTGAAGTTCCTCTCGCATCTATGGGCATGGTATTCTACATCAACCAGTACCAGCCTGTCAGTGCCTGTGATATGAGTATCACCAACGACGTGCACAATGGTAGGCACCACATCAATACCAATATCCGGAGGAGGAACAACAATTTCATACGCATCAACAAGATCTTCTCTTTGAAGTGCGAAATGGTGTGCGATTTCATGCATCATGTCTTCATAGCTATTCCAGCTGACAAGTGAACGAATCGGTTGATCATCAAGGTGAAATAGCAAAACATCCTGTCGATCATTGGTCTCTGGAGGTGGTTCGATATTGGACGAACCTGACCCCTCCCCAGGAGAATGCCCATCTGAATCTTCAAGCTCAAACTCTTCATCATCGCTTAGGCCATCACCCTGATGAGGGCGACCTTCTTGAAACGCTTGGAGTTGATATGCTTGCTGCAAGTCAATCGGCGAATTCTTAACGGTCACTACACTCGGTGGGCTGATCTGCATTGCGGAAAGAGCATCACTATTTTCTTTGTCATCAAGGTTTCTTTGGGGCAACTGATCTCGACTAGGAGGGTGATCCTTGCCTCTTTGCTTTGCATCGGTCAGGTGTGAGCTCAACACGGCCGAGGACGACAGCGGAGCACCATACACCTCATCAACAGCTGCAGGAAGGAAATTTGAGTGTTTTGAAAGTTTGGAATCATTGGTGATATCCTGAAGAATCAAAGGGCAAGAATCTGTAGAAGACGCGCCGTAATCAGCTGGGTCCTCTTGCTCCTTGTCACAACAGTCAAAATCGCAAAATACCGAAAATCCAACATCATCTGCATCTGGAGGTGAATGAACCTGCAAGGCGTCAATCCCGGCAACTCTCTCCGAGTGAACCTCAATTTTGTCACCATACCAGCTGCAGAAAGGATAAGAAAAATTTGTGAGTCTGCGCCAAGAAAATCTCCTGCTTGGTGGTTTCGGACGGTAAAACCATGGCTTCTCTGACCATTCTTGCAAGGCATCATGCGAAACAATGGTATTAAAAATCTCCAAGTCATCTTCCATGCTGGTGGCAAATTCAATATAATCATCGAAATGAACACGCTTTTTGCAGTGACGAACATTCCGTGGTTTTTGAGAATTGCTCTTCAGCGAAGAGTAAATGGGAACTGATGATTGATTCTCACATGAAAGCAAAGCGAGAAGGTCAACGGAATAACCAATGTCTTGAAAAATAACATCTCCACGCAATTTCCAAGCTTCCAAACTAGCTGCTAGCGGACTCAAATAGTCCTTCTCCCCTGCAACTGAATGTCCATTTGGAAAAAGAAATAATTCGGCCTCATGAGAACCATTCTGTCGAACTGGAGTCTCACGGCCCGGAGTCACTGCTTGGTGCCGGGCCTCAATGGGTCCACAGAACGTGGACGCTTGTGCTGTGGAGGTTTCTCTTTGTCGTCGTCGGAGACTTCTTGCACTTGCTGATCTGGGACAGCAACATGGATACCCAAGGAGCCTGCACATGCATTCAGAACGCCCTGCAACTGATCTCGTAGTTTCAGCTCCTCGGAGTCCACTGCATTGTCCAAACTCGCATCCTCCGTTTCTTCTTGGATAGGTTGCGGAATGGAGAGGTTCCCTTCCTTGACGGTGTTGTCGCTGACCTCTTTCAAAATCCTTCTTGATGTTTCTATTTCGGCTCTCGCTCTTGCAGCGTGCTCCGACAACGTTGCCTGGTGCACTCTGTAGCTTTCGAGCTGGGCTTCCCACACTTTGATTCCATCTCCCACATGCTTGGTCCACTGAAGGCGGTGCTCTTTTTTGGCATTGACTGCATCTCGCAACGCCTTTTGAGCATGATCTAAGCTCTTCGTGGCAGCTTGCAGAGACTTGATGTTGTTTCGACTGTATTCCTTGTCGGCTTTGTCCAGAAATGCCTGCACATCTGCCGGCGGCTCTGAGTCCTTGTAAGCATGACGAAGGTGAACAGCCATCTCTTGCATAGTACTGTTCTTGCTGGCTTGAGCCGTTTGAAACGGCGATGCTGCAACTTCCGGATTGTTCCACACAGGCCAGGAGGGCAAAGAAGGAGCACCACTTTTGCCTGATCCAAAAGTGCTTGCCGATTGCTCCTGTTTGGCTTTGCCTTTTCCCTTGCCTTTCCATTTCCCTTTGCCTTTGGCCGCACGGCCTCTCGGTGAATAATCGTCTTGAAAATTTTGATAGCCCTGAAATCTTCTTGGTGATTGGGAGGAAGGCCGTCCAATACTTTCCGAGTCTTCCCAATCTTGGTCCCAGCTGTCCCACTGATCCCAATCGTTCCACGAGTTTCCCCATTGCCTGCTGCTTGAAGCATGAGGCTGTTTCGGGGTAACATCGTGCTTTGTACCCTTGGTCCAGTGGCCCCAGCATAGGGCACATTGAGTAGCCGTTTTCTTGTTGAGCCGTCCACATGGACATACCCATGGATATGCATCTTCTGATGCCATTTTCTGAAAAATTTCCGATGAGATACTGTTCAAATATGCAGCGTCCCTCGAATGGTGTTTGGAAATAGTTCTCCTGACTCGGATCAAAGACGCCGCAGTCAAGGAGATCTTTCCTGTCTTGTGGAGGAACCACTGCCTTCTGGCTAACGCTCTGTGGCGCCTTTCCTTGCGCCTCCAGGTAGCAGAAGTTGATACACGCAAAATCTTGAAAAAGAGAAAAGGTAACTGTCAATAGCAGGAATCCAAGGAGGAATGAGCACATCCACGATCCAAAAGTCAGAAACCAATGCCCCGAAAAACCAAAAAATGTCCAGCAACCACCGCCAAATTCCGAAACAGCACAGGAAAATCACTGTAACTCAATCGGTAATCGGCTCCCGCAGTGCCAGAAAATTGAGGTCAAATGCAAAATTGTAATCCCAGTCCCAAATGTAGCAAGAGGCCAATTGAACGGCAGCTAAAGCAAAAATGGGTGTAAGACCAGTGAATGCCGGGTTTTTACGGATTACCCTAAACCGAAGCCAGGTAGTTCAACTCAATGAATAACCCGCGGGGAAACAGGCACCGCACCCCGCTAAGGTTAATGGCGGAATAGTCCACAAATCGACACGATAAGGGAGAAACTGAGCCAAAAACCTTAGACTTATACCATCTTATACCCCAGACACCCTGGGCCTCCAAAGATTATGGAAAACAGGATAAAACAACTATAAAACACTTGTTATGAAGACGTATTTCCATGGGAACTTGTGAAGCAGCATAGTCTTTTGCTGATTTATGTTGATTCACGCTATGTCGCTATGTAGGACTATATAACAAATTTTGAGCTGACTCCGCAAACGCTTCGGAACAATAGATCAATTATCTTCACATTTTGCACTGCCCCTGTGTTTGGACGAATGAACAAAATCAAGACCAGCTATGTGTTTTTGTTCAGGGGCCGTCACGACAAGTGAGGCTTCATACTGAACCGTGATGCATCGTGTGTAGTTTAGTGATGTTTAGTGATGTTTAGTGATAAACTTAGCTCACTTAGCTCATTTAGCTCATTTAGCAACTTAGCTGAATCTTAGCTCATTTAGTGATAACTTGTCAGAACTTATCAGAACTTATCAACTTCTTTGCCTCTGGGGTCGGGGGGTCGGGGTCAGATGGCCTGGGTGGGAACTGGTCCCAGGTCACAGAGTTCGGCTGGGCGAAACGAGTTGTCCAAGAAATGACCGAAGAGGAGGGCCTGGAGGGCCTGGAGGGTTTGGAGGGTTTGGAGGGTTTGGAGGGTTTGGAGGGTTTGGAGGGTTTGGAGGGTTTGGGAAGTTCGGGTTTTCAGAACTTTCAGTCAAATTCAGGTCTGACCCCAAAGTTAAGGTTTGCAACCGCCTGGCCAAGCAGTTTACAAGTCAACATGAGTTACAGAAAGTTACACCAGTATACACAAGTTACATAGATCTACACAAATTACATAGCTTTAAGGGATAGAGAAAGGGATAAATGATTTAAACTGGGTCACACTTTTCACGTTCTTCACCTTCTTCACGTCTATGCGCTTCCAAAGTTTTTTGCTCCTTGGACAGGAGAAGTACCGCTTTATCCATGGGGTCGGCTTTGCAGGCTCAGCTAATTCGCATGACGAAGACAAAACACGCATATAGATGTATATAGTTATTTTTTCTTGCAACGGACATCAACTCTACAATTTGCATCAATTTGCGCAAAAGCATTTGATGCCAATGCAATTGAACCATTTTCTTGGTCCGGTCAGTCCGGTGCGAATGTGGCTCCTGTCAGGCTTCAAACTCATGCGGGGTTACTACGTGGGTTCGGTCAGAAACTTGGTGCATCGTGCCATGGCGGAGCTGTGAGTTGGACTCCAATCAGCTGAATTTGGAAGGTCTTGGGAGTGCCTCGGCTCGGCATTCCCTGTATCAAGATGCAGGCGCCGATGTCACTTGGGTCCCAAGACTGGTCCCTTGCATGTTATGGCTTTTCTTTGGGCGGTGCTGGATGATGTGACATGTCTCTTAGAATGGTGCAAGCAGAGCCAGGGAACATCAGGGAACACAAAAAAAAACAACTTGTGTCATAGCTCATAAACTGATCCGTTTGTCATATTTTGAGATATTTTGTCATTCATATGTGAATGGCATTGAATGGCGATGACAGTGGCGTCTGTGCAATGAAGGGAGGCAAGGTTGGAGAGGCTGGCATGGGCTGGGGCTGTTGTGAGCTGCTTGTGTGGATGGCTCAAGGCAAGGGGAGCACCAGATTGCACAGAAGGCACTATTAATCACTACAGCATGGCATTGCTTCCAGCATTTCCAGAAGAAGACCTTGAGGACGCGCATTGTGTATATGCTGTACACGGTACTTTGTGCATGAAAGCAGGGGAAGTTGTCTGCGTATGTCTTTGTTCTTTCTTAAATGAATTCCCATCACAATGCCAAGAATAACCCATACATATTGATACTTGCCTCCGTACACTCATTTCATATATTTCATGACTGGTTGTAAAAGTTTAACTTGAAGAATTTGCCATTGTTTTGCTGCATTTGTTTCGAATGCGGCCTATATGGAGTTTTGGATTTCTTCTTCTGCAACGCGCGCATGGTTGTGCACAGTCTGGTCGCAGCGAGGAACTTGACCTCCAGAAAGATACCGGCTTTGTGCGCGGAATCAGCGACGGTACCACAGATGAAGGTCTTCCACCGCTTGAAGATTTGGAAGACTTCGAGGTGCGAAGCAAAGTAATCCCCTCGACGGCAGTGAGATGTGGCAAAAATGAACGAAGCGTAATTGATACTATATATATATATATTATGTGTATATATATATATAGATTGCGTTATATTAAATTCTGTTATATTGTATTATATGTTATTCCATTATATCATATTATATTAAATTATATTAGATTATATCATATTATATTATATCATATTATATTATATTATATCATATTATATCATATTATATGATATTACCATATTATAATATGTGATATTATATTATTATATTATATTGTATTATATTATCATGTTATATTATATTATGTTATGTTATATTATATCATTTTATATTTTATTATTACATTATATTATGTGATATTATATATATTTGTTTTTAATATTTTATTATTATATTATGTAATGTTATATTATATTATGTTACATTATATTTTATTATATTATATTTTATGTTATTTTATGTTATATTATGTTATATTATGTTCAAAGGAAGTTTAGGGGGAGAAACTTCCGTGTTACGGACTTTTAGAATGTCAGGGAAAGAGTTAGTCAAAGAAAGAGTTAGTGAGGGAAAGAGTTAGTTAGGGTTAGGGAAAGAGTTAATTGTAACTTTTAGACTGTCAGGGAAAGAGTCAGGGAAAGAGTTAGTCAAAGGAAGAGTTCGTTAGGGACAGAGTTAATTGTAACTTTTAGACTGTCAGGGAAAGAGTTAGTCAAAGAAAGAGTTAGTGAGGGAAAGAGTTAGTTAGGGAAAGAGGTAGTCAAAGAAAGAGTTAGTGAGGGACAGAGTTAATTGTAAATGACATCTTCAAGTTGGATTTTTGAAGGAAGTCTTGCACGAAATGCGTTTTTGAGAGATAGCAGATGCACGAAACCCTATGTTTTTCCATACGAAGTCCGTCCCCGAACCTCGATGATCTACCTCTGCGGTGCGACGGGTGCGAGACGGTCTCGTGTGTGGTCGGATCATGCTCGGATCATGGGCGGATCATTCTCGGATCGGTTCCGCATTGTAAATGGGGTTTCACCTGTTTTTCGTGCATGTGCGGCGCGGTCGACAGAATTCCATTGTGATTTGCAACTGTAGGATCGTTCCCGCAATGTAAATGGGATTGCAAGTGGTGCTGGTGGATGAGTTGCCGATGGAATTCCATTGTGATTTGCAACTGTAGGATCGTTCCCGCAATGCAAATGGCATTGCAAGTGGTGCTGGTGGAGGAGTTGCCGATGGAGTTTTGAAGGAAGTCTCGCACGAAATGCGTTTTTGAGAGATAGCAGATGCACGAAACCCTATGTTTTTTCCATACAAAGTCCGTCCCCGAACCTCGATGATCTACCTCTGCGGTGCGACGGGTGCGAGACGGTCTCGTGTGTGGTCGGATCATGCTCGGATCATTCTCGGATCATGCTCGGATCGGTTCCGCATTGTAAATGGGGTTTCAACTGTTTTTCGTGCATGTGCGGTCGACAGAATTCCATTGTGATTTGCAACTGTAGGATCGTTCCCGCAATGTAAATGGGATTGCAAGTGTTGCTGGTGGATGAGTTGCCGATGGAATTCCATTGTGCTTTGCAACTGTAGGATCGTTCCCGCAGTGTAAATGGCTGTGTCAAGGTTGCTTCGTGCTGTGGCTGCATTGGTAATACTATTGTCTTTTGCAGCTGGACTTCGTAAATCGTATTGGAGTGGCTGCATGAAGGCTGCGACAGTGATTTGTCAGCAGATTTTCTCCATTTTGGCGCTAGTGATTTTCCTTCTAAAAATCCTTTTAAAAAGTGCTTCAAAATCGTCTTTTTTTCGCTCTGGCGTCGAGATCCGGTTTTGGAGCTACAATTTCTGACGCCGTTGCGCGTAGTTCTATTGTGTTTTGCAACTCAGTCTCTGCAGATCGCATTGTAATGGCTGCGTCAAGGTTGCTTCGTGCTGTGGCTGCATTTGTAATACTATTGTCTTTTGCAGCTCGACTTCGTAAATCGTATTGGAGTGGCTGCATGAAGGCTGCCACAGTGATTTGTCAGCAGATTTTCTCCATTTTGGCGCTAGTGATTTTCCTTCTAAAAATCCTTTTAAAAAGTGCTTCAAAATCGTCTTTTTTTCGCTCTGGCGTCGAGATCCGGTTTTGGAGCTACAATTTCCGACGCCGTTGCGCGTAGTTCTATTGTGTTTTGCAACTCAGTCTCTGCAGATCGCATTGTACTGGCTGCGTCAAGGTTGCTTCGTGCTGTGGCTGCATTCGTAATACTATTGTCTTTTGCAGCTCGACTTCGTAAATCGTATTGGAGTGGCTGCATGAAGGCTGCCACAGTGATTTGTCAGCAGATTTTCTCCATTTTGTCGCATTAGTGTTTTTTTGTTCCACGTAGGTTTAGAGCAGTGTGAAGTGTGGGGCGTAAAGAGTGCAGTGTGAAGTGTGAAGTGTGAAGGAAGCAGTGAGAAGTGTGAAGTGTGGAGTGTGAAAGTGTGGAGTGTGAAGTTTAAGTTTGGAGTGCGAAGAGCGCAGTGTGAAGTGTGAAGTGTGAAGTGTGAGGTTTGGAGTGTGAAGGAAGCAGTGAGAAGTGTGGAGTGTGAAGTGTGAAGTGTGGAGTGTGAAGTTTGAAGTTTGGAGTGCGAAGAGTGCAGTGTGCAGTGTGAGGTGTGGAGTGTCGAGGGAAGGACACGGTCGGGACAGGTTGTCTTTGAACTGTAACTATAGGTCATTTATTTTTGGGAAACTTCCGCCGCCGGCTTGCCCGGGTCTATGTTATAGTATTGTTATATGATCTTTTATTATGTTATATTCTAGTATTATTCTGTACTATATATTATTACGAAAGCCAGCCGAAGGCCTGGGCTGAGTATAGGTATAAGCGAAGCGAAGCTAATCTAGGGGAGGCTCTGATTTGGGCCCGTTTGGGAAGGTGAGGCCAGAGCCTGGCTGGGGAGAGCTCCAAAAATGCCGTGCCGCACTTCCGTTTTGTGGAACTTGAAAGAGAAGCTCCATTTTGGACACTTGACGTTTTTCATCGGGTTTCAAAAGCCAAAGCACTGTAATTTACAGTGTTTTTGTGCTTTTGGCATGGAACAAGTACTTCTTGCAACATGCTGAAAACTGCGTAAATACCACTGTTTTTGCTAGGTGCTGGCCACAAAACACTGTAAATACCGTGGTTTTTGCTACCAGGAGCAAAAACCACCATAAATACGGTGGTTTTGGGCTTGCGAGGCGTAAAAAACAAGCTATTTACGGTGTTTTTTGCCCCGAGACTCTTCAAAAAACACGTAAACACCACCTATGTGACCATTTTTTTGCTTTAAAAATTTAAAAATGAAAGTAAAAAACATGCAGCAACAGCAACAACAGCAACAACAGCAACAACAGCAACAACAGCAACAAAAGCAACAAAAGCAACAAAAGCAACAAAAGCAACAAAAGCAACAAAAGCAACAAAAGCAACAAAAGCAACAAAAGCAACAAAAGCAACAAAAGCAACAAAAGCAACAAAAGCAACAACAACGACAACGACAACGACAACGACAACGACAACGACTACGACTACGACTACGACTACGACTACGACTACGACGACGACGACGACTACTACTACTACTACTCTACTACTACTACTACTACTGTGTGAAAAAGCATTTCGGTGTAAAGATGATTGTGTGTAAAAGGGTCTGTATGTAAAAGCCTCTGTGTGTAAAAGCGTCTGTGTGTAAAAATGTTTCTGTGTAGAGATGTTTGTGTGTAAAAAGGGTCTGTGTGTAAGAGTGTTTGTGTGTAAAAGCGTCTCTGTGTAAAAGGGTCTGCGTGAAAAAGCGTGTGTGTGCGTAAGAGGGTCTGTGTGCAAAAGCATTTCGGTGTAAAGATGTTTGTGTGTAAAAGGGTCTGTGTGTAAAAGCTTCTGTGTGTAAAAGGGTCTGTGTGTAAAAGCGTCTGTGTGTAAAAGCGTCTGTGTGTAAAAGCGTTTGTGTGTAGTGTAAAAAAGGGTCTGTGTGTAAAAGCATCTCGGTGTAAGAGCGCCTCTATGTGAGGAATTGGTGTGTAAAAGGGTCTGTGTGTAAAAGTGTTTCTGTGTAAAGCTGTTTGTGTGTAAAAGGGTCTGTGTGTAAAAGTGTTTGTGTGCGAGAGTGTCTGTGTAAAAGGGTCTGTGTGCAAAAGCGTGTGTGTGCGTAAAAGGGTCCGTGTGTAAAAAGGTCCGTGTGTAAAAGTGTCTGTGTTTAAAAAGGTCTGTGTGTAAAAGCATTTCTGTGTAAAGATGTTTGTGTGTAAAAGGGTCTGTGTGTAAAAGGGTCTGTGTGTAAAAGCGTCGCTGTGCGAAGCTGTTTCTGCGTATAAAAACTATCTCCAACCACCTTGAAAAAACAAGGTTTCGAAGATTCGCCATGCAATATTTCTGGGATAATCCTCCAAGCCGCAACAACAGGATTGGTTGCTGTGGTGAAACGGCCAGCAGCGAAAAATTGATCTCTGTGCTGCACAGCTCTCAGATGCAACACACAGAGCATAAAGCGCAAAGAAAAAACCGCCGCCTGAGCATTTGTTTGGAGGCTGGCTTTCGTCCCCCCTTCTCAGGTGTTGTATTGAATTGTATTATTGTATTATAATATATATATATTACACACGCATACACACACACACACATATATATATACATGTTTGAATTATATGATAACTATTATGCTCTTGATATTATTATTGCACGATATTACTGCAGATGCGCATGCAAAAGTGTGGCCAGAACATGGAACAACAGCGGACAACTTCATACATCTTCATACGAAGTATGTACACACGCTTGAACAGCCGCCTGATCCACCGTCGCTTCTTGCGCTCGGGGGGCAACAACATTGGGGCTTGTGGCGTTCTTGTGCTTTTTTGCTTCTTGGTGTCTTGGCGAGCATGGCTTCCTGCAACATTTGTCGGGTGTTCTTCTGTTGCGTTAGATCGTTACTATGTATCTCTCTGTGTGCCTTTACTTCTCGCTTTATTTTTGTATCCCGTGCTTTTGTCATTGGTGTCCCGTCTCTCCGTTCTTGTTCTTTTCCTTTCTACCACGCCTAGAGCCTCTGGGTGTCTTCAATAGGAATATTGAGTATACAGTCACATCCATGTGCATGAGGGTATCTATGTGCATTTTGTTGGCCAAGATGGAGAACACTTTTGCATTTACAGAAGGAACCGTTTACAAATTGACTTGGGCAACATGCTTTAGCACCGCCCCGCCATTTCTCCTTCTCCATCACAAGCCGAAGCCTTCTCCATTTATAGACGCATTGATGTGTCTACTCCATATTTCTGACTAGTCATGCAACATAGTCAGGGACAATTTGCCAGAGAACTTTCAGAGAACCGGTCAGAGAACACGACATATGAGAAAACTAAGTAAGATGCCTTGGTCGGCTTGAACGGACAGCCAGGGCTTGACATGGTGCTCAGTGCTATGCAAGTGGATAGAAAAACAGTGAAACACATTTGTACATAGCACGGCACTGTCCAATGCAGCCCTGGATAATGCTTCGACGCGAACAAACTCAGGTTGTAGTGGGGAAAAACGTGGAAAACATATTTATACCCATTTTTACAGCGACGGCAGACCAAGTGGCCAGTGGCCAGTGGCCGGGGTGATCTTTTATCACACACACACATATAGATAGATAGATAGATAGATAGATGGATAGATAGATAGATAGATAGATTGGAATCTGATATACATGCTTTGTACTATTGTGTTTTGTGTTCGTGCCGGTCTGTGTGTGAATGTGCCAGGCCGTCCAAGTGTTTTCTTTTTTTCTTTCCTTGAAGGAAGACGAAGAGTATGAAGAACCCGAGCGAGGCTTGGCGATTCGCCCTTCACGCATGGGGCTCAAGAATGTGCCAGGCATGGAGGACTGACTTGACATTCAATTCTCGAAAAAAATCTCAATCTCTCAGCAGGCAACTATCATAGCTGTCATAGCCATCTCTCTGGCAGTTGTGCACTTGCGCAGTTGCGATAGGACGTGGTGGTCAAGACTCTCCCCAATCCAAAGCTATCACTCAAGGAGAGAATGTGCTTGAAGCATCTTGAGAAGCAGGAGGCACATGCACGCATCGAATATACGGAAACATGACGTTCAGGTATGCAGGGATTCACTGGGATTGAGAACACCCTAGTATTGGCATTTGTGTTTCTGTCCGTTTCACAGGTGTCCAAGTTCCCTGCCCGCACTTGGGCAGTGACCCCTGAGAGCCGGGAAGCTTTGAAACCGCCAAGCGTAGAAGATCAGCACGAGCAACGCTCAGTCGAGTTCCACCCCATGGTGACTTGCCACCTCTTTCGTTCCTGAGACGTTTCAGTGACGGAGGTTCTGTGGACCCGGCAGGCCAGACGGTACAAACCCAGGCCATATGGGCTCAATTCCAGAAAGCCCAAGCTGAATCAGCCCACCCCCCTTTTTTGGTTCTGTTGTAGTGGCCATGGACTTGGCAATGGCACTACTACGCTCTACTACATAATCTACATGGTGGAATGGTAGTGTCAAGCAACTTGCGCGTCAGCAGAACCAAATTGGATGTGGGCCATGCTTGCTATGACAAGCTTGAGTGTTGTTTGGCAGACATGCCATGAAGCCTTCAGCTCCCGTAGACAGCCGGGCCCCCCATTTTGGGCGGCTATGGCTGTTCATCAATTGTTTCTTTCCTAATGAACTCAAAGATTCTACAAAGCCTGTGTAATCAAGATGTGCCCAAGACCAAAGCACTACTGTGCCACCATGATGCCATTCCAATGACTTTCTCATAGTAGTGACTGGTGGTGGGAGATGATAGGAGGCATTCTTTGAGTTCATGAGCTCTGTGAAGTCTTTTGGGCCTAAGTGCCGTGAACTTCACACAACAGCTTCGTGCGTTATTCTATGGCAGCTTAACCTCCCCATCTTTCCCATGGTCGACGTTTCAAGGCCGCCATGAGAATTTGGACAGTTTTGGCATTTCCAGCTCGCATGGTGCAAGATAGGGGTAAGTTAGTTCAGCGACTCGACGCTGGCTACTTTCTAAAAGCTCCTGTCTGGTGGGATGTAGATGGGATGAAGAATGTACATAGATAAAAACCATGTTCAGCCAAGTTGAGCAAGGTGGACGGAAAGTGAAACTTTCCAGATTTAAACCGCTAGCATTCTTGTGCTAGACTTCAGGCTAAGTGCTGACGATCTAAAGTATAGAATAAGTGCAGCTAGCACTTGACATTCTGAGTGACTTTCTCCCAGCCTGTTTCTGGCCCAATCTGCTAAAAGTGAATTTGCAATCATGTGGATGGTTTTTGTGGTGCATTCAGCTGAGTCAAACCTTGACCTGAACCCGTCGGTTTGGCCAAATGCTGATGGCGCCTCTGGCGCCCGCAGTTTGACCATGGCCTACTCAATCTCTATACGACTCTATACTATACTGCTCAAACTCTTCACGAATGACTGAAGGAATTTTCATGACTTTTCCCTATTTTTTTGCCAGCCTTGTTAGCACAACAGCACGGAATTGGGATGAGAGGCATGGCATAGCAGAAGCGGCGCAATTTAAATTTAAACATTTTGATTGTCCTCTTGTGTCTTTCAGCGAATTTGACCTAAAAGGAACACTGTGCATCACTGCGCTATGCTTGTGTCCGCAGCTATTATCTTTGGGCATCCGTATGCGTCATGGGATATCGGTCGCCGGTCACGAATCTTTCGCAAGTTGCCAGGATGGAAGCTCCGGCTTCCGCACCACTGACAAGGCCAAGCCATGGCGAGAGCGGCTTCAAACATCCCCAAGAAAACACGAAAAAGTCATACTGGAGCTCACTGGAGCTCACTGGAGCTGGGTCTTGTGCATTTTGTACCTGGTAAACTGATTTACACTGGGAGTTCTTGGTGGCCCTTAGCCGCACTACAATGGCATATACTGTATGGCATTGAGGCCTTAGGAATTCACAGTAGGAGCTTCAGTGAAAATTGTGAGCAGGCTATGGTTGGAACCGTAACTTCTTGGCTTGGAACTTTGGAACTTTTGAACTTGGAAGCTTTGTCTTGTAACAGTCTTGTATGTCTTGTATGTTTTGTGTGCTTTGTGTGTCTTGCTGCATGTTCTGCTCTGTGTCGATGCGGAAGTTGCTCACCAAGGCCGGCACCTTTGGTGCTGTCAGCCACATGGGATGCAGAGCTGGTTGAAGTTTGGGAACGGGCACCAAGTGAGTGGATTCGCAATGTGACTGAGCAATACTGAGCAATACTGAGCAATACTGAGCACGTGTACTGTGGAATCTGTACCCCTCCCAATGCCAAGGCAAGTGCCATGGGAAAGGAGTTCCGAATCAAGGTGAACTGATCAAACTTTAACAAGGGAGGCCCTGCTTTATGTTTCCCGAATGCGTAGCAAGGGTTCCCGTTTCACTCTGGGGGTCTGGGGGTTGAGAGTGTGTTCGCTCGACGTTGCGCAACCGTCCGCAACCATTCGCAACCGTCCGCAACCGTTCGCGCGAGCAACAGGGGTCACGTTTGGAGGTTTCAGCGTCGCGTAGCTTCGTTTCGCGTGGCAGGCATGGGACTTCGTGACATTCAGACGTGTTCGTAACGCGTCGAAAGTCGTTTTGTGTGGCAGGCGCAAAACTTTTGCGTCGTTCCCGTTGCAGTTTTCGTGGCAGGCGCAGCACTTTAGACTTTAGACGTGTCGCGTTGCGTGTTTTTTGCGAATCGCATTGTCAGGGCTGCGTCAAGTGGCGACAAGGTGCAAATTCCGTGGCAGGCATTGCATTTGAGATGGGATGCAAATTGACGGAAGCCTCGCAGCTAGCCAATTTAGAGGTCACCGGAAAACTCGTAGGAAAATGTGGATTTTGAAGCTACAAAGTGCGAAATTTTGAGGAAGCCTCGCACAAAATGCTCCTTTTGATTGCTCCCACATGTCTCGTCTCGAGTCTCTGGTTTTCCTGTGGCCTCGCCGTGTCTATGCATAGGGGAAGCTGCAAAACCTTTCCTTTTCAAAGGTGTCACAGCAAGTTGTAATGTTGCGTGGCAGGCGTGGCACTTCCTGACATTCTAATGTGTCTGGAAACGCATCGAAATTCATTTGGTGTGGCAGGCGCAATACTCTTGTGTCGTTTTCAGAAGATGAGTCGCAGTAAGTTTTCCTGGCAGGCGCAGCACTTTGGAGACCTCCATCGTCATTCTGCGTGGTAGGCGCAGCACTTTGGACGTGTCCTGTTGCGTGTTTTGTGCGAATTGCAATGTCAGGGCTTCCTGAAGTGGTGACAAAGTGCAAATTCCTTGGCAGACGTGGCCTGTTGTGATACACGATGACACTCCACACTCTACACTCCACACGTTACACTTTACAATCTACACTCACGCCCCACGCTCCACACTTTACACTCTACGCTTTACACTCCACACTCTACACTCCACACTTTACACTCCCCACTCCACACTTTACATTCCACACATTGCACTCCACACTCAACACTTCACACTCCACACTCTCCACTCCACACTTTACACTTTACACTCCACACTACACACTACACACTCCACACTTTACACTTTACACTCCACACATTGCACTTTACACTTCACACTCCACACTTTACACTTTACACTTTACAACCCACACTCTCACTCCACACTTTACACTCCACACTTTACACTTTATACCTTTTACTCCGCGCTCCATACTCCACACTTACACTTTACACTCTTCACTTTACACTACACACTACATTTTACACTCTACACTTTGCACTCCACACTCTGCACTCCACACTGTACACTCCCCACTCCACACTTTACACTCCACACTTTACACTTTACACTCCACACTCTACGCTTTACACTCTACACTTTGCACTCCACACTCTGCACTCCACAATTTATATACACTCTACTCTTTACACTCCACACTCCACACTCTACGCTCCACTCTCTACACTCCACACTCCATACTGTACACTTTACACTCCACATTGCACACTTTGTACTTCGCACTCCACACTCCGCACTCTACACTTTACGCTCTACACTCCACACTTTACACTTTATACTTTACACTCCGCACTGTGAACTTTACACTTTACACTCTACACTCCACGCTCTTTACTCCACACTCCACACTTTCCACCGCACACCTTACACTTTACACTCCACACTCCACAATCCCCACTTCACACTATACATTTACATTCGCCACTCAACACTCCACTTTCTTCACACCCCGCACTTTGCACTCCACACCCTTCCACCTTCCACAGTCTACAGCGCACTGGTACGGTACCAGGGGAAAAATGTACAAGACTGTTCAAATAACTTGTTTCACAAAAGTGTTCTACGTGACTGCATTCGGGTTCGTGGGCTGCTTCTTGTTTTTTCAACTTTTTCCATGTTTTTTCTTTGTTTCCCCTTTCGATCTTTTTGTTCCCAAATTCCTGGTCCAGATCTAAAGCAAGAAAGGAACGAAGGAAGAAAGGAAGCAAACAAGCAAACAAGCAAACAAGACCCGAAGGAAGAAAACAACTCATTTGAAGGACAACAAATCGAAGATGAAAGGAACAAAGACGGCAAAACAAGGGATAACAAGTTCCAGCCTCCAAGAGATACTACGATGCAAGGAGAATTTAGCTTCATGTAGCGAGCAGCTGATGCAAACAAGTGAGAGACTTCAGCCCCAAAATGCTGCAACCAATACTGTGCGAACGCAGTACTTGCATGATCTTGTATGTACTTGGTGGATGCGAAACTAGACCTGAGAAACAATCCGCGGGAAAACCCCCAAAAAACAGTGCGGCTGCTAACTTGCCCTGTTCGCATTGTGCCTTCAGAGCCGGGTTTCAATGCAGGGCGCAAATATGATCTTGGCTCCTGCTGTCAACGTCCATCGAGTTTGGGTCTCAGATTCTTGTTTGGAGAACAGCAGGGCGGTAGGGCCAAAGCAGAACCGCCAACACAGGCTTTGTTGCTAGAAGGACTGAGAGGAATCTTGAGCACTTTGTTGTCCCTGCCGTGTCCCCAAGACTCCCTATGGAGGGCGCAATGCAGAGTACCTGTCTGGCGAGGCCAGGGATCAATTTGAGTTGCAACATGTTGTAGCAATGCAGCAGTGTTTTGAGGTGTCACCGGCCACTTCCCCACTGGCCCATGGTTGTCTATGAATTTCACCTCCAAATCTGGCTTTGCTTGGTGTCAATGCTTAACTTACCGGCACGTGGTGGGCTCGCATGCTCTTGCTTCAAACTTTGGACCAACTCAAGCCTTGGAACATCTTGGAACATCTTGGAACATGCAGATGCCCATGCAAGTCAAGTGCACCTCAGGATCCAGTTCTTGGAGTATACCTGGCAAAAGCTTTTGCGGGCCGCTCAGGCTAAGCAAATCGTGTAAGCACCTGGGACTCGGATACTTCCATGGACTCTGATGGAATAGGTGGGACGGTGCGGTCCAGAGTCAGAGAATGTCTAGAGAGGCGTCCAGAGACTAAGGTCAAGGGCATGCAGGAAGGAGCTGGCGTTGCAGCAGCCGTGAAGCACTTTGCATTCAATGACCAGGCGCAACCGGTGATGGACATTGATTGACAGTGACACTGACAAAGCCAGACAAATTTGTGACCATTATGAGCATTGACATCAAAGAAGAATCCGAATTCCATCAGCATGGGCAACATGCACTGATGGGCACGGATATGCAAAGACAGAGATGTGGAGGGCACAAGGACGGCACAGTAGTGACTTCGGTAGTGATTTCGGTAGTGACTTCGGTAGTGACGTAATGTATCGTAAGGCTTTTAAGGTTGTTGTGTATTTGTTGTGTCAGCATGTGCCAGTCCTATTGTGTTAGGAGACCAAGAGGACCATCTCCAATTCCATCGTGCCAGAGCGCATTCGCTTGGCCCAGAGTCGTTGGAGTTGGACAGTTGGACCATGGATGACTAAAGTTTTTAAAGGGATGACCGGGATGGCCAAAAGAAATATCTAAAATAATCCAAAAGCATATGAAAGAGCATCTGAAAGTGCTTCTGAAAGCTGGAATAATTGAAGAATCTAGAAACTACATGAAACTACTAGAAACATGATGAAATATGTACAACATCACAGATGATTCATGCAGGAAAGGATCAGGGCGACAGGGCGACTCACTTCTTGGAAGATCTTGGAAGCTTTTAAAAACTGGCGAACTGAGGTTGGGAGAAATTTTATGCCCCCTTTGAGTTGATAGCCCAGATATTTGCTCATTATTTGCGCTCCTCTGCTTGCCTGAGATTTCTTTTTGGCCGATGTTTTGAGCTCTGTTTTTTTGATTTTTTTGCAACCCGTTTGCTGGAAGGTCGTTGTTTTGTTTTGTCGAGGGAGGCAGCGAGTGTGGTCTTCCCAGGTCAGTCATCAAGGAGGGAGTCGCAGCAGTGATGTGACTTGGAGATTGGTTTACTCCGTTTACTCACCCCAGCTATCACCAACCCAACTCCTTGCTTTGCGGATTGGACGCATCTTCCCATGCATGTAAGGCTCCAATCCAACTTGTGTTCTCGTCGCAATGACCTGTCAAAGTGCTCATGCCTTTTGCTCGCTGTCAGAACGTGCAGGGACAGAAAAGCATTGCGATGCACAAGATGGCCATAGCAGGGTCACAGGCAGCAAACATGCAACAGGCATCAACAGGCCATTTTTGTTCCAGTTGCTGTCTTTTCGAAAAAGTGTTTCCGTATCTCAGTTTGACACTTTAAGCCCTCACCGACAGCCATGAATCCTATGGACGACATTCCTCAAGAACCCGTGGCAGGGCGGATGGCTGCAACGGCTCCTGCCAGAACACCTATGTCTGAACCACACTTCGAATCATTCGACCCTGAGGTGCCTGTGGCTTTGATTTCCCGGTCGATGCCGTCAGCACCGAAGAGTGCGCCTTGGCGACCTCCTGGTGCCGTGGATCGAAGTGGAAGCCCTGGAGGCCTTGGATCAGCCATTTCTCGCTCCTCCAGTGCTGGTGCCATTCGGGAGCGCCCTGGTGGCCCTGGATGCCATGGCTCTCGCGGCCGGATGGAACGGAGTGCCAGCTGTGCCGACAATTCGGAGCACCAGCTGCGCCGTGCCCCCGGCTTTCGGCATTTGCCGGTGCCAGATGCGCCAGGCACCGCTCGCAGAGATGCGAACGTGCGTGCCAGGCATACAGAGAGGGCAAGTCATGAGAAGACGGAGCAAGAGATACAAGTGTCACCTCAATCCAGAGCTACGGCAACGACTGCCACCAGTGCAGAGCCGAGTTCATATTGGGGATTGAACACGCCCTCATCTAACTGGAATGGGCCACGCCAAGAGATGCGGGCACGTCCGGAACCAACTTCACCAGGCAACGAGTTCTATTATTTGCCGGAATCTCAGGCCGGTGCGAAGACACTGAAGTCACACGAATGAGATTCTGTGACACAATGGAAAAGACCATGCCTTGTCTCCCTGTCTAAACGTCTCTAAACCATTCAGCCCAAAGGTAGAACGTGGCGGAACGAAGCATTCTGAAGTAACTTGCATCTGAGGTCTGCACATCAACTCCGTCAACAGTGGAAAGCTCGGGAGGAAGAGTTGGCAAATACCAAGGTGCAGCGCGTCGACCGCCGCCGCGCTGCCCATCCTTTTGTTCCCAGTTTGAACATTCCTATAGATCACACTAGATCACCCAGCGGCCGTTGTTGTTGCTAGGCCAGGGCAGAAGCTTTGCGCGTGATGTTGAAGCAGCAGTTGGAAGAACGAAAGTCCTTTGGTTGCGCATTTGCCAAGGAAAGGCCACACATGATCGCTGTGATGGCATTTCAATGCACTTCAGTAAGCTGGTCGTGTCGGCTAAGGAAGTCCAAATCTCAAAGGAAGGAGCTGGCGGAATTGTCAGTGGCTGGACGTCATGCCAGTGTGTGGGGGGGGGGTGTTCCAAGGGCTGCGCATTTTCTGCTCTCTCAGAACATATCTCTGCTGGCAATCACAGTCTATTATCAATAGTATCGTCTCCAAGCAGCTTTTGAGTGTTGGACATTTTTGGCTGTTTGATTGATCCCTTACTCTATGCTTATCACAAACGCTGGAATGCAAGTTGGCACATTTTGCTTTGCTGCTGCAAAAACGCCGCATTTAAGTAGTGCTCAGAGAGCAGGATGAGCGCAGCCAGTTTCGGAGAAGCAATCAAATGCGATCCTAAGTGAAAGACATACCAAGAAATCGCTTGACCTGAGCTGTGTTCAATGGCCCAGTGACTCAATTTGGCTGACATGGCAACCCTCAGCGTTGGCCTTGGGTCCCCTTGTGATGTATGAGCATGGTGTGCTATTGAACCGCCAAGACTGTTTTCTGGATTCGCAGACATTCAGCCAAGAGATGAATCGTGAGGTGTTGCAACAGCATACGGCCCTTTGGGCATATCCCAACCATGCACTTGATTGACCACGATCACGTTTCACAGCATTTCCTATCGTTAGGCGGAGTTTCACATGTTTCACGTTCATTTGTTTCACTTTCAACGTGCGACAGCCCATTCCACCAAAGTTAAGGCATAGTTTCCTCCAGGTAGTAGGTGTTGCCCCGGGCAAAACTCCTAATGGCAAAAAAGTTGTTGTTGTTTTTGGCTCTGATTCCCAAATTGTTGTGGTTCTTGAAAGGGGAAAAACCAAACCAAAAGCTAAAAAAACAAACGAAACAGTGAAAACCATTGAGAACCAAATGCAATGTTTTTTTCAGCTGACTCACTTTGCACCACTTGTGTTCCAGGCCTTTTCCCATTCAATGAACATGCAGCCTAAATTAGTCCCTTTGATGCCTGTGCAACTTTCATCAGCTTTCAAGACCTAAGATGATGCTGAAACAACTGAGAGTGTTGACTGTGTTTACGCTTGGAATTGAGATGGAAATGCATTGGTGTAGCATTGGTTGTTCTGAGCGCCTCCCTGCTTTCCTGATTGCCAAGAGCATGTGCACCAACTGTACTGGTAGTCTTTGGACACACACACATACATATTAGGTATATACACACGTGTATAAATAAATAAATATTTATAATATATTTATATACTGTAATATATTATACATTTATATACATATATATATACACTATATGTCATACCTACACACATATAATATATATATATACATTAAGCAGGTATATGTACATACGTATATATATATATACATACACACACATATATATATATATAGAGAGAGAGCATTATGAAAGATAACACGAACTCGATATTGTTTCTTCATTATGTTTAAGCTCAGGTGAAGACATTATGAGATGCCAGAGGATATCAGAGGATCCTAGAACAGCGGAATCTATAAGCTAGTATATGCTAGTAAATGCTAGTAAATGCTAGTAACATAATACGGATTCATTGCTTCTCATTGGCACCGCTGGAAATAGCGCACGCCCAGGCCAAGGGAGCCAAGCAGCAGGAAGCCCTCGAAACTTCACAGGCACCAACTGTGGGTCTCCGATCCCTCAGTCGTTCTGGCCACTGCACCAACTGTACCGTATGCAGAACTTATGCATCCTTAAGCCGACTTGGAGATCCGGGGATTTTTTTTAGATATTTTTAGAGATGATGTGAGATGACTGGTCTCGAAGGGGAATCGGACGAATATGGATGAACAGGGATGAACTAGGCATACCCATTTCAATGTATACCATTGTATGCTGATGTTCAAGGCATTATTTGTTTCTTTGCTTGGAACTTGTGGAGAGCAAGTAATGTGTTGACGATATAGTTGCCAAAATGGCTATGCCATTTTGGCTCAAGCTGTTCCCCCTGCGATCCAATACTTTCGAAAAACACGTTCCGATCCTTTTCTTTGGCCATGGCGGCTTCTAGTCCAGTGGCTAGTGAGACTGGCACCGTGGGCTCTTTCTCGCTGATTGGGACAGATTTGGACGCAGGGGACGATTACATGGTGCTTTCCACCCAGGTGACCGAGGCTGCGCCGGCCGAGGTTATTACAGAGATTGAAGATGATCCCGCCATCACCAGGGAGACTCTGGCTTCGCAGCTCCATGAGATGGAGAAAGTGATGGCAAACTTGGGCTTGGAACCCAAGCCGGAGACAAGTGTGGCAGCGTCAAGTGGGCAACCTCCGTCGGGTTTCGTCCATGCAGAGGCACAGATTCCGACCCAGACATCACGGGTCTTAGAGAAGGAGACGTTGACACTCCACATGGATCCGACCACAGAGACCTTCACCATCGAAGGCTGGGCACCTTTGATTCCAGCCCTGCCTCACTCGGCTGCCAAGTACTTCAGAGACATTACGCATGGTGAGTTGCGTTCCCTTTTGGATGCTTTCCGCAGTTCTCCGTGGACGGCATCCTTGGTGGTCAAGATCGCAGAGGTGTACCACATTTCGAAGCGCGAGGCTGTCCACACACAGATGTTGAAACTCCGGCACACCACGCAGCGTGGGGGATCCATGGTGAATTTGAAAGAGAAGGACCCTGGAACTTCTCCGCAATTAGTTTGTTCTGATTGCAATGCACCGTGGGGACAGTTATCCAAATGTTTGCTTTGTCAAGGCTCTCAGCCTGTTGACCTGTCAATGACACCTTTGTCAGTGATTGAGGTGGCCGGCCAGTCCTGGCAACTTAGGCTCACTGAGGCGGGACCGACTTGGGTTCCCACAGATACTAAGGTTACTAAGGCCTCAGGCTTTGTGGAAGTGGGAGATCTTGGCCGACCTCCCCCTGCGGCAGCTTCGGGCGCCGATACGGGGCTGGTCAGCTTTTCGGAGCAAGTTCCTGCCTCCCAGCGCATGACACTGCAGCAGCACGTGGTGGCCTTCGGGCAGGACGAGATCTTTCATCCAGATGGCGAACGCCCCCCCACTATGGATGATCGAGACTCTACTCAAACTGCTGTGATCTTTCATCCGAAGACCATTGAACTGATGCGCTTCAAGGTGGACTTGCTGGCCACACCAGAAGAAGAACTTACGGAAGCGGCACAGGAGGCCAAGAGGAGGAAGAAGGAGATTCAACACCAGCAAGAGACTGTGGCGATGGAAGATGAGCTGCATACACTGACTGCCATCCAGCAGGGTGCACAGGAAACCCAGAATCCGGTCAGTGCCAAGATGCTCCGCCACGCTGACCTCCAGCAGTTTCGGTCCTACCTCAAAAGAAAACATGAAGAAAGTGGTCTCACCTCCTCTTACGAGGCTTTGGTGGCGGCACAGACCACACAGGAGAAAGCGGCGGCCGCCAACAAGGCCCTGGACACAGAGTTCAGAGACCGACGCAAGGCCCTCAAGCCCATTGAAGTGGCGTCCTTTTCACTGTGGACCCCGGCCCTGCAAGAGGCATGGCAGAACAACCTCTTCGCGCCGGCCATGGGACCTCAGGGCCCTGAACAATTTGACATGGAGGCACTGAAGCAGCCCTACCTCCGAATGAAAGAGCTCATCAAGGATAACAAGCCTCCGCTGTCCCAAGACCGCCTCATGACGGAGTTCCCCAAAACGCAACTCGACATGTACACCACGGGGACGGAGATGATATCTTCCCAAGAGGCCCAGTTAGCACGACTCCTCCCGCCGGACAGCCTGGAACGCAAGTACGCAATCCTTGACTCCATCTTGCAGTACCACAAAGGTGAAGTCAGAGCCTGGGGCGGAGAGTGGGAACTGCGACAGGGCCCGCTCATGGCACCTGCCTGGGCGAAACCGGCACCTACGGCTGAGGTCTTGGCTTTGGAACTCAGGACAAACCCGCTGGGCACCTCCTTCTACACGCCCAAAACCTACACAGAACAGGTGGTCCTGCAACAGATTGCCGAGGGCAAGCGACCAGACCTGGACAAGATCATTGGCTTCTTCTGGGCCCCGGGGACGGCGGTAGCTTCTGGCACCGACGATACCCACCTGGTTCGGAGGGTGCAATCATGGGACCTTCCCTCCATGATCACGATGCTTGGACAGTCCTGGACGTTCAAGGAGATCTACCAGGCTTGGTGTGGCATGCCGCTGATCGTCAAACCGATGCGCAGAGGGCATGGGGAAGGCATCCGCCAGAAGAAGGTGGCAGAGTTGGCGGCACACCGGCAGAGGACTTCAGAGATCAAGTCCTTCCTCACCAGTGTGGGCCTCCGGTTTCCCCAATCACAACATGAAATCAAGCTGCTCTACAAGGAAATTGGCAGCTTTTTGGCTGCCTCGGTTTTCTTAGCCAGAACCCCAGCGGTGGTCTTGGACTTGCCCGAGCAGGACATCCAGGACACAAAGGAGCAGCTCCGTTTTCGAGCGGTTTGTGATGAGCGCATCACCTTGCCCTTGGATGCTTTCAGGCAGCTCCCGGACGTTTTCCAGGCGCTGTCAGCCACTCTGGGGGCCCACAGCATGGTGCAAGTGCAAGTTGCCTGGCGGTGCAACTGTGAGCTATGGTGGGTTGCCCTGGTTCCCCATGAGAAGGCGGAGAGCTTTTATTGCCGTCTGGGCTACTCCCAGGCAGAGATTGATGGCTTCCTGAAGACTGCGTTGGAACCGGAGGCTCTGCAGGCGACTACGGTAGCTTCGGGCACCGGTAAGTACCCAGAGCTCTCCTTGGAGAACGTGGTGTCCATATGCAGCCCCAAGTACAAGCGGGAGCACTACGGCCACCGGGGAGTCCATGCTTTTTGGGGCCGCACTGATTGCGGGCTCATCCTCAGCAGCATCAGTCCATGGGAACTGAAGACGAAGGAGGCTGGAGTGACTCGTGGAGGATGGGTCTGCAAGGCCTGCCAGGGCTTTTGGAGACAAGGCAAAGGAGCTTCCCGCTTTGTCCATTTGCTTGGAGAGCACCGGGGAGTCAAGGTCAACCTCCAACTGATCTTGGACGAGCCACCCCAACAGCTGTATAACAGCTGGGTGAAGTCCAGGCTTGAGTATTACAAGAGAGTGGAGCCGACTGCGGCCCCGCGAGATGTGGCATTGCAAGTGGACCCTGACCACACCCAACGCTTGAAGTTTTCTTGCCAGAATGGCAATGCCAATGTTTCCAACGCCATTTGGTCGGTCCTTCTGAGCAACCCTGACCTCGAGGGCCTTCAGAAGATCAACGCGCTGGCAGCGAGCAGAGTCCGGCCTGCCTGAGAGCGGAGTTTTTGCGAAGGGCTGTTTTACTGACCTGGTGGCCTGGTAGCGTCTTGCACCAACGTCACCACTCGGTTCTGCAGACACCTTCCTTTTTGTATGAATAGCATTGGTTGCGCACCACGACAAGGGCCAAGACAGGGGCCAGACCGCTGGGATGCCAGCTCACACAGTGAAAAGGGAAACCTGCATGTGGCTGCCTCAGAATCATTTACAGCATGTGGCTATTTGAACATTGCTGCGTTTTACCATGTTTTACCTTGGTTTGATGTTATTGGTATCCTTTCGGGCTTCGCCCATTACGCTGATGTGACAGATGTCCATGTGACTTGCACTCAGTTCTGTCCAGTTGCAACTCTGATGGTTTTTCCTGGGCTTTCGGTGTTTTTCTTCCTGCTTGCCTTTTTCACGTGTTAGTGCTCCGCACACCCGCAGTACCCTTTTTGGGCCAGGCTTGGCCATAGTAGAGTCGGGACATCATGGAACCCGATCTTGTGCGTAGAACACCTTTTGGCCTGGCAATGGTTCGGCTCCCTGAACACATGCGAGACAGCCTGCTGGACCATGGCATTTTCCCCACACAAACGGAGGGGGAGTTGTTCATGCAGCTCTGCATGCAACAAGTGCCACCGGACCATCCGGAGGCCATGGATGGGGGAACCTGGACCTCTCGGGTACACCCCAGCAATGACATCGACCCAATGAACGTGGCTCACAGTAACTCCATGATGGTGGCTACCACGCCCTGGATGGAAGACTTTGTGGCAGACTGCATGAACCGGGTGCCACAACCAGCGCCCCCAGAAGAGAGAGATAGGACCTATGATGCATGTTTTAGCCTCTTCACTTTGATTGCGGGCGCACCAGATTCAGCCTTCCACACCCCCCTTCAACAGCAACAGGAAAGCATGGACCGGGCTAGATGGCGAGCCTTTCATGCACGGCCTCCCATAATGGCCATTGTGGAGGCCAAATGGAGGCACTGGAAGCCTGGGCGACTCAAGGAAGAGTCGGCTACAACCCAATGGAAGTTAGAACTCCACCTCAGAGACCGCTGGGCAGAAAGGATCATTGGGCTCCTTCTGCCATTTGCCAAAGACATCCCTTACCTGCATGCGGTCCACGGGGACAATGTTCACCAGGAGTACTTGGACCTCCTTGGAGACACCAGGTTCAGGACCTTGCGTATTCACTGCCTTTGCTTCGAGAGCATCCAGAAATTGGGCTTCAACACAATTCCTTGGAAAGAAAGTGATATTAGATCTCTTCTGAACACCCTGAGGGACCAGGAGATCACACCACACAAACTCCAAGGGATATGGAATACCCTAAGATGGTTCTCGGCCAGGTTTGGCCTCCTTGACCCTGACAGTCTCGAACGTCTCAAGGCAAAAAGGAAGACCATCCAAGAAGGCCTGGTGGAGACCAACATCAAGCCTCAGCGCAAAGCCCAGCTGCCTTCCAAGGAAGTAATCATGCTTCTGGAAAAGGTTGCATCGGGCGCAGATCCCACTGGCCCAACGACAGCCAAGAGTACCCTGGACAGATACATCTGCGCCATGGCCAGGTTTCAGGTCGCCTGCAGCGCTCGGTTCAACGACCTGCAGCACACCAGCCCGGGGGGTTACAAGCTCACAGAGACAACACTGGAGCTCCAAGCCTGGCAGACGAAGACGGTGAGCGCCTTCAGGATCAAGAAGAACCCGGTGCCTTTGATTGCACCACTTTATTCCTTCACAGGTGTGGACTGGTGGTCCATACTCCCCCAAGCCTGGGACCGCTTGATTGCCCAGGACAAGTTCAAGGACATGGACTACCTCATCCCAACAGTCAGCTCTGACTTCGCGGGCCTGATTCCCCGACCGGGACAGGCAGATCGGACCCTCCGATGGCTGAAGGATGCCCTTCATCGTCAAGGTACACTGGAGAGCTCGGCATTCAGACCCCTACTTTATGGTGTACAGTGGTGTTTTCCCACCTACAACCCTCTTTTTCCTTTCCTTACTTGCGCGAGCTTCACGCTCCGGCGGGTTGGGTGGATTTTGACGTGTGACACCACCACTGCAGTTCAGAGTTTCTGTGAAACCATTTGTGATTGATGCGATTGGCATCTGACAGAAACACAGCCGCAAAGCCAACTGCATAACAAAAGGTGCTGACTGACTGATGCAGTTGCTTTGTTCCGTTTCTGTCATTTTCAATTCTATTCGGGAACACATTGCTATAGCATGCATGCCAAAGCTACGGCTCTTATCCACTCAAGCAACAATTGCAAGGCAGCGCTGCAGAAGGAACGACAGCACCGTCGTGCGCTGTACGATGAAGTCCGCCGGCTGACTCCAAAGACATGGAGGCCACGAGCAGGAAATTGTTGTGACGATTTTAGGTGCGACGAATCGACGAATTGCAATGAGCAATGAGAAATATTTTGAAACATTCGAGGCAACATGTTGAAAACCATGCTAATACATGCTAATATACTCTGACCATGGAGTCTGTCTTTGTATGTTTGCGTTCTGTCTTTGTATGGTTGTGTGGGTTGTTCATTCTATTCCGAGGATTCTGCATCCCTGCATTGCTACATTAATGTTTGCAGATGATTGAGCTGAGCGCAACCTTTCCACAGAACCAGCCAGCCGTTTTCACTCTTTTTCTATATTCAAAATTTTCTCAAAAGAGTGAAGAGCTGGAAGAAAATCGGTTGGACAGATTTTGACAGGCGCCCCTGTTCTTCCAAAGCTGCTGACAAAGCCCCGCAACTTGCCTGCGACAATGCAATGCAGACATGTAAGCACTCGCATGCATGCTGTTTATCTCATTTTGTTTTTGCATGTGGATGTCACTTCAGACTTCTTTCGATCTGCCTAGGGTTGATAGCTCACAACGGTCATCCCGATCGTCATCCCGTACAAAAAGACAGATGGAGGAAAAGGACCCAAAGCAAAAGGGCCAAAATGACGACAAGGGCGAAAAAGGCGAAAAGGCCGAAAAAGGCGAAAAGGCCGAAAAAGGCGAAAAGGCCGAAAAAGGCGAAAAGGACGAAAAAGGCGAAAAGGACAAAAAGGGTGCTGCAAAACAAAGAAAAACATCGCAGACGTCCCAACGTGGCACGCGTGGCGTGCCTGCTTTTGAAGACATCCCGGCAGGTGTTCCACTTCCACGGAACCCAGGCAGCCCCAGCAGCCCCAGGAAGGGCCCTCGGCGTTCGGCAAGCACCTCGAGGAGCAAACCTCAAGAGCCTGCTGAACTCAAAATGTCACCTTGTGCCGACAAAAAGAATGAGAAGGCAGACAAGGCAGCTACACAACCAGGAGAAGACAAAGAGCGGGATTCTCCACAGCCTCCCAGTTGCAGAAGTGATCAGAAGATATCAGAAGTGCATTGATTGTTGTCACAGAGCTTTCTGCAAGCTTCCTCGGAGTCTGGTTTTAGGTTGAAAGAAGTCCCTGACAATTCCAGTCTGCAGAAAGATCAGTCTCTTGGGCCTGCATTGTGAGAGAAGAGAGAAAGCTGGGAAAACTGAAGCACTTCTTTGAACTCTTGTTTAACAGTTTAACACGCGTTGAAGTGGTTGGTTCATTTTGGTTGGGCTTTTTGGCGGGCTCGCATTCAGGCTGAAGCCGGAAGCCAAAGGCAGGGCAGGGCAAGTCTTGCCGCATCCAGTTGCC